CCACACATGGTAAAACTGGCAACAAAGAGATTGATTAAGGACGGTTACACTTTAATATGCAATAAATTGTTTGACAACAAAAGCATTTAAAAGGTTTCTTCGTTCTCATTCTTCAATCATCAAATCCATAATGGCTGCATAAAATCAAATAAAGAATTGATGTTAAATTTATTTTCGTAAGCGAATATATTCTAACAGAAGGAAGTTGAAATATGTTTTTTACTGATATTTTATTAGTTATCGTTTCATAACAATCTGTAGTGACAACTTGATTTGAAAAAGTCATGAGAGTACAGAAAGTATAACGCAGGATCCAAACCTGGGCCCTGCATTGAATCAACCTGAGTGAAACTTTCACTCAAAAATTTCTTGCCTAGCTTGACGACAAAATGTTTTGGTAAAAGATAATTATTCATCATAAAGACAAGTTCATTATCGATATGTAATTGGATTAATTTAAAGGCTGCCTTCTAATTTGAGAGATGGACATGAAACTAACTTTCCGATTTTAAGTTTCTCTTCTATTTTATGCTTCAGATAAATTTCTTACTTGTACTGTCTTCTACTTCCTTGGCAGTGAAACCCCCTTTAAATTTTTTATAGCCTCCGCTTCCGACAAATAAGCGTGGAAAATCTAGTACGTACGATTCACGTAAGGAAAATATGCGCTCACATAACGAAAAGACATTAGAAACATGTACATAATGTGTATGCAAAGTTCCAATTTAATATTTCAACCAACCTCTTGAAGCTGCTAAACGACAATTACAAACAAGAACAAACATATGTTAAAGTACAAACATATAACTTGTTTCGATTTACTGACATCGATTGCTGACAACAGCTCAAATACTGATACACTGTGGGATTCTAGCACTGGAAAATACACTGGTAAAATAAATTAAGAGAATTTTCATATTTTATCGAATTGCATGAAAAGAACTGAACTGAAGGAAAAACCACTGCTTCTAGATAAAAATGCAAATCTCGTACGGCAAATACGTAAGCTTACATGTGTGTGTAGACGGAGCCAGCAGAAAAGCAAGCTTTATAAGCGCGTGAAGGGTAAGATGAATTGCGTTCGCTAGCACACCTCGGCGAATTTCTTGGTGTTATCTTGCAGCAATCGGTTAAATTCACATCGCAACAGTAAACATGAGTAACCACCAACGTTTAGATGATGGAATGAGGTGGTGAATTGTGGGGAGGTTAGATGCAGGCCAATCGCAAGTCCAGATATGCAGAGAGTTCAATTTAACGCCCAGCGTCGTGTTAACCTATGGAAACAGTTCCAGGGTACTGGATCCATCGAGAGAAAACCTGGGCAAGGTCGTCAAAGAGCCACGACGGCCAGAGAAGATCGTTACTTGTCCATTTTAGCGAGGCGTAACAGAGGGGCTACAGCTTTTCAGCTCTCTCGGGATCTGTATGCAACCACAGGAGCCTCTGTAACAAAGTGACTGCTTCCAAAAGACTGAATGAGAGAGAGTTGTTTGGCAATCTGTTGGCAGAAGACAGTCTGTTTGCGTTCCGCTCGCGTCTACGGACAGGAGAGTCCGATTAGCATGGTGCAGGCAGCATAGTGATAGTGGTAGGGAGCAATGGGCGACCCTTCTGTTCACCGACGAGTCCCGTTTTAGCATAAACATCGATTCTCGCCGTACTTTCATATGGAGAGAGCCACGGACCCGCTACCTACCCTCCACTATCCGCGAAATTAACAATTGTGGCGGTGTAATGGTCTGGGCAGGCATCATTTTGGATGGCCGCACACCTCTCCACGTCTTTGGCAGAGGCTCTGTGACTGATGTGAGGTATAGGAGTGAGGTCTTGAAGTCCTGTGTTCGACTTTTCCGGGGTTCAGTGGGCCCTGAGTTCATCTTACAGGACGATAACGCGAGGCCACGTAGAGCTCTTGTGGTCAAAGAATTTCTCGAGAGTGAGGATATTCGCCGGATGAATTGGTCAGCCAGGTCTCCAGATCTCAAACCTTAAGAGCATTTTGGAACGCTCTGGGGAGGGCGATTGCAACTCGCAACCCCCCTCCGAGAACCATCCAGGAACTGAAAACAGCTTTGTTGGATGTGTGGGACCAATTGCCACAGGCACTTATAAATGTCTTATTTCCAGTATGACATCACACTGCGAGGCCTGTATGGCTGTAAGAGGGGACCATACTGCTTATTAACCCATTTCTTTTGTGTCTTCTTCAACCGCTGTTTCACACCTTCAGACTCCCATCAGTGTTAAACACGAATATGTGTATCTATTATAACTGTTGAATGTTTATTTTGTTTGTATTATATCAACGTATGTTCACACCAAATTTTATTAAAATCTCTCCAGTAGTTCTGGAGATCGTAGATCCAAATATGAAAATTCTTTTAGTTTATTTCACCAGTGTACTTGAAATATAACGATATTTGGCGATGCACGGCTGTTCTACGATTTTCCAGATTTTCAGAAGTGTCCTCAGATGTCAAATTCTTGCGATGAATATGTAAGTTATGAAATGAATAGATAAATGCAGAATATTGATTTGCTTACATTTTAGTCTATGAGTTTCATTTGTTTTTACTTTATTTGTTAATTAAGGTGAGTAATTCATTTGTCTGCTCTTAGCGTTTGTTCGTATTTTTACAACAATTTTAGCAAGAAGATACACATTGTTTTTGTAAATATGAACTAAATGAAACTAAAGAAGTTTAAGGTTTGAAAAATGCCGTCAGAAAATAGCGAAATTTTAAATATCATCTTATTATAAGACAATGCTTCACACTGCTGGATAAATTATATGAGTTTCATAAAGTAAATGATACGCTGATTAGATACGATGAAGAAAGGATGAAAACAGTAATAAATTTTACAATAGTTATAAATACCGAACTAAATAAAGGCACAGGTTTGAGAATTATACAAATCTGGAGTTTGGATACCAAATGAGAATCAACTGCAGTAACTATTTGCTTTTACATAAACATATGCAATTAATTAATAAGCAGTCACTAATTTAAGAGAAGTGTACACAGTATGATTGGTTTTCTTACAACTTTATTGAAGCAATAAGGAAGCTGTTTCGATAAAGCAATGAAGCTATTTGCTTCAGATGTAATATTATAAACTGTGTCGGTATGTTAACAATGCACAAAAAACTGCAAAGTCGTATTCTAATCGTATATAAGTACATAAGCATAAAAAAAAAATAACTGCAGATTTGATGTAAAGTGACAGCTGAAAACATGAATGTAACTGTATATGGTAATTAGGGCCTGTTTTAGTAACATTTTCAAATTTTAAAATGCTACCAATTTTCGTCAAAATGTTTGCTTCATATATACTATTCTTTTCAGGATTATCTGTAGGTATTCAGCAGCTAATATTGACTGACATCATTCTTTTTGAATTTATAATACAATCAACCGTACGTTACACAACTTTATTTAACTTAATTCCTCTGCTTGGATCGAATCTTGAAATAAATATTTGATTCCCTTTTATCAATCTGATTGTCTTGAAAGTTTTCATACATGCGTATTTGAGAACAATAAAATGTCACAAAGGAATTTTTTCAATATTATATTCACATTTTTTTTTCTATTTAATGTTCAACATTTCTCAAAAACTCTTCGTTAAGATTAAATTAATCATCGTAAAATTTTGATTTTCAAAATCTCTTCGATATTTTAACTATAATGAGTCATAAAAAATGGTGGATTTTTTATAACAAAAAGCTTAATTTTTTACCGTCGGCAGCTTGGGATTTTATAAAAGGAAGAGAACAGATTTTTAAATCAGACAGAAATTTAGAGGAATTGAATGTCGGGATTAGGAAGAATAGGTTTTTACGTTTCGAGGCAGTGATTTTCTTTCTGTGTTACTTTTTCCGTATTCTTTACATCTAACGGTGGAAAATAACATGCATAATTTTTTTTTTTAAATTGAGTGATTTTAATTATGTTCATTAAAGAAATTTTAGATATGGCAGTTACTTTCTGCTCTCTTAAATGTCTCTTTATAATGTATTTCTCCCGCCTTCTTAACATGCTTTCGTGGTGTAATGGTCAGCACGCTCGGTGCATGTTTGAGAGGTCTGAGGTTCGAGTCCCGGCAAGAACACTGCTCATTTTTTTCACCGCCCGAACTAAAAAAAAAGGGGGTGGATGACGATTCTCCACCACCAGGATTTTAACGATTGGGTACCCTAATCCCCACTCGCCCTTTAAAAGGGGGAGTATATAAGGTATTTCTTCCGCCTTTTTAGCATGCCTTCGTGGTGTAATAGTCAGCACGCTCGGTGCGTATTTGAGAGGTTCGAGTCCTGGCGAAGGCTTTGCATATATTTTTCATGTCTCCTGCGTCGAAATAACCTAATGACTCTACATCTTTAACACATTTGTTTTAAAATTAATCATTGTTTGCAAGCCCTATGATTGTACTTTCAAGAATATATTGTTACTTAATTTTTTTGGCGCATTCAATGAAATTCGTGTAACTTAAGGTAAATTTTATATAATTTTTCTTCTAAAATTATTATGGAGTTTAATGTCAGGTATTTTTTGCTAGCCTGAAACCACCAAAGGCACGTCTTATGAAATTCACAAGACGAGAGACATCACAATAAAGAATAACTCTAGTAGGTTTGATAATCTGGGAAGCTTTTTTTATACCAAGAGAAATGATATTATTGTTTTGTCATATCTGCTGTAGAAAAGGAAGGTCTAAGGCTTCCCGCAAAAATGTCTATTTCATTGGAAAGCTATTATTCATTCTATTGTGACATCCATATATTTTTAAAATCCAGTAAGGAAAAGACAATAATAACTTAAAAGTCAAACAGAAGAATTTTCTTGCAATTTTCAAAGTAAAAGGAGAATGACAAAACCCCTACTTGTTAGAATAAGTTTTAATGGGAAACTGTCAAGGACCAAGGCAAACTTATCAGGGAGGAAAGAAAATTTCTGACAAAATTAAATGAATCAATATTTAATGAATTATCTTACCTGCTCCAACCTAAAAATGGCGCTGCTGTCCAGAGTATAGACCAAAACCATATGAAGACAATATTACCAAAGGCTCTAAGTCGAGTCAGAGGTGGTGCAGACATCCCTCGTACAATAACGTTATAACGATCCAATGTGATCATAACCATGCTCCAGATCGAACCACAACCGAACAAAGATCCAACCATGCCATAAATTTCGCACATGAGTGGACCTAAAATCCACGTTTCTCCAAAACAGTTGGGTGCCATTACAGGCATCATAAACGCTATCATGCAGAAATCCGAAAAGGCTAGGTTCATAACAATTAGATTTGCAGGTGTTCTCAAACTCTTCACTGAAGCCATGAGATATAATACCATTCCATTACCTGGTAGGCTAACCAGACCGTAGATGATAATAACGACACCTAGAATATAGTGCCACATGCTCTTGATAGGTGGATAATTATACCAGTGCTCATGAACCAGTGGGAGCATACTTTCTGGGAGAAGATCTATTAAGGAAGCATTTTTTTCGTAAGGTTCCAGGAAAGCATCATATAGATAGAATTTCTCAGCTCGAGGTAAGTCCTGTGGAAGAAAATAAAATGTTAGAATAATTTTAATGCAAAGAATAGTAAAACTAAAGCATATATATATATATATATATATTTTTACATACGCTAATTGTTCATTATTGCAGTTATATATCGTTCCGCTATATAACAAGGGTTATCGGCGGAAAGATTAGATCATTTAATCCCGAACTCGGTCGATGACCAAACGAGTAAACAGCAGTGAGCTTTCATGTCCACCGCATACATAAGCTGCATATGTGGATGTAACTTTTATAAGCATATGTTATAAGGACTTTAAGTTTTACTAAAGTTTATTTTATTTTAAACTTTGCTATCCTCTCTTATTTTCCATTTCCGGCCAGAATAAGCGCGAATAGGAATTTTATGTTAATGAGTCTACAAACTATATAGGTTTTTAAGAAGTGGCTTTTAGCCTAAAGAGGGAAGAGCTTTCCTGCTACCCTGCTACGCGCGTGCTTTTCAGTCAGTTCATGTCTGCCTTTAAGGCCAGAACTTAGTTCCTGCTGATATAATAGGCTTATTGTAGTATTTGCATTTCGTTCACTACATACGTAGTGTCAAAAGGCCAATCATCACTATCATCATCACTATAAAGTCTCTGTACAGAATTTAAGTTTAATTCTTATTTAGTGAAGTTAGTTATTTCTTAATTTTACCTTTTAGACCAAAAGTGTTGGTCTCTTTATCCCGAAGTGCGCGAGCGCCTGTACGCTGTGAGAAATAAAGGTTAATCCTTCGTCTTTGTGTTGTCTATTCCACGCACACACGAAAACGGACACATGAACACATAGCTTGAGTAAGCTCCCTGTTCCCATTCAGGATTTCTAGATGTTTCCCAAGGCAATTCGAAGAGATAGCAGTCCTGACAATGTAACCAGAGCTGGTGGAACTAGCTCGATCGTATCGGGCGGGTAATTTAGGGGTGGTAAAATTTTAGAGTTTAGGGACAAAATTAAAAGCAACGGAGATTGCATTGGGTTGTAAAAAGTTAGCTTCGGTCCTGTATGCTATGAGAATCTAGCCAACTTATCTTAAAAATTACGACACGGTTTCCCTTTCCGGAGGCGTGCTGGTCCCCGCGGTGCTGATCTTACTTCAATTTTTCAGGCTAAATCCGTTTTTGTCTCTTCTAAATGACAACTGCTTTTTCTTCCCATTTCTTTCAGCTCATGTTTTAACAGAAATCGTAACTATTAAGTGTTTCTTCTCCATAGTACTAACAGAATTAAACATATCTTTAAAATTTACTGCTTTCGAATATTCTAGATCTTAAAATTTATTTTGTCAAATAATTAGGATTATTCTTATTTGGTTTGAAAAATCAAACGTAAAATTCATGGCTTGAAAGATGACGTCATAAAGAAAATATGACAGTTTTCCTAATCCAAGGAACCGTTCTAATAATTAAAAAAAAAATGGTATTACCAGTTACTTTTTCTGTGGAAAAAGTAGGTTTAATATTTATGGTTCCTTTTAGTGTATCACAAGTTCACGTGCTTACAGAAGCTTTTGCTTCTTCATTAGTCTCTATCATCTCCATTTATTTTTCAAACGTCCGCCGTCTTGAGTTGATGCCCATAATTATTAGTAATTTTTAAATAACTGAATTCTGAGTCACATGATCTTTATTACGGCTTTCCTTTTTCATATTTACGTACAGTGCTCTGTTGTGGATATCATCTACGGCAAACAGATACTAATAAATTAATAATTTAATTTATTTGAACCTCTTACATTAAAAGATTCAAAGTGGAATTCAGAACAAATAACTTTTAAACACTTATAGTGTTTGTTTTTACTTTAGGTTTGACATTTTTGTATGAACTATTTGAAACAAAATTCTTACTTAATACTGCAGGTAGCAAGAAAATGTATTATTTCATGTCCTTTTAATTTAATCATGTTTCATAAGCTTTGTTGAAGCTGATAGCAAAGACAGAGTTTATAAGGAATTTTCGCTTTTCTGTCTGCTTGCGCTTGTGATGCAAGTGGTAGCACGTTCGGCTAGCAGTCAGAAATCCCGGAGTTCGAATACGAGTGAGAACGCAGCTTGCTTTCTCTCGTTTCTCGCTCCTGAATATCTAAAAGGCCACTACAAGTGACTCCCAATTAAAATAGGGTGGACGATAATTTATCTACACCTAGATCTGACGGCTGCTTCTTAATCGCTTTTTAAGTGGGACAGAAAAAAGGAAGTGTTGCCTTCTGCATTGCATATTTTGCGATACGAGCAGCTAGGAAGTCTGACTGCTAGCAGGTCATGTTAGCAGTCAGAGATATAGATTTTGACTTCCGGCTAATATTTCGTTTTTCATGCTTCGAACAGCCTAATGGACTCTACAAGCTTATTTCAAGGTGTAAATGAATTTTAATAATAAACAAGTCGAAAAAGACGATTCTTTATAGAATAATAACTCAAAATTACATAGTTAATTTTGTCTTTAGACCGATGATGGAAATGGAGACGAACATTTCTGTAGACAGAATGTTAGGTATAGAGAGTCGTATTAGATAATTAATTTTCACCAGAAGATAAAGTCAAATTAACGAACATTTTAATGTGAAAAGAATTAGAGTTTCGTGCAATGCAGCGATTTTATTAATACTAACACGCAAAATTGTGCCGAATTCCAGTGTCTACTACCTGCCCGCGATCGAAGGTGTATGAACCACAAGTTTTACCCATATTAGCAATTGAAACAACTGATTAATAACAACCATAGTACTGAGCTCATGCAGTTAACATAACGCCCTCACGTAATCATAAATGCGAGCGCAGCACTAAAAATGTTGCATAGCCATGTCTATCCCTAATTCAGTGGTACTTCAGTGTATTATTGCCCTATATTATATTTAAAGAAATTAAATAATGAAGAATCTGCATAAATGCATGTATATGTTCCTCTCATTGTGATAAAACAACGGTACCTAGAGCAATCCAGTTTTGAATAACGTATGTTTTTACCCGAATACGGGCACCTGGAAGCCCAAATTTGGAATATGTTTTATTATCTATTTCATATTTTGTGAAACTTTAACGAATTTTTGATTAACAAACTCAAAGATTTAAAAGCGAGCAATGGCAACACTCTGCGGGGGGAAAAAAACCTTTTTATCTCCAGCGCGCGGAACTGTGTGTCGGAAATTCTAAAAATATGCTCATTTTAAAATTATTTTGCAATATGTTGCTGTTGGACTGAATTTTATGGTTTAAGTGCGAAGAAAATGATATTTAATAAATAAATGTGACACACAAAACGTTAAAAAAAAAACGCCCCTTTGGACGTAATTTAAAATCTGAAAGCTTTCAGATTTTTAGTCCAAGGGGGCTTTGTCCCTGAAGGAGTATTGTTTTCGTTTTGCGATTTTGCGTCAAATCACTACAAATAGCGTATCACTTTTAAATATATATATATATAATGTCTAGTTTCTTTTAATTTATATGCATAATTCGTGTAGGGGAAGTTGTGGGCAAGAGTTTCTAAACTACTTTTGTTTTCTAAAAAAATAGGTTTTCTACTCTTATTTTTAATTTTCATTTTAATTCTTGTCTGTTAATTGCTAATTTCTCAAAATCCCCCTTGTTTAAATTTCGTTTTAGTAATTCACCACATTTGGTATTGCTTTTGGTTTTAACTTTTACTCTTGCCTACATGGATGACGAAACACGAATTGAATGATTGAAGAGTTAGGTTTGGAGGCAACTTCCTCTAGATAAGTCTGTCTCCTGCCTGCTCAACAATCATTCACTTGAGCATTTTTCTAAATAGACTTTTTTAGGATTAAATAATTTTTGTAATTTTATATTTATTCATGAATTTGATACTTGCAATTGATTTTCATATGCTCTCAGAACTTAAATGATATTGTAGATGAGTTCGCAAGAACATTAATCTTTTATTTGTTTGCATTAAATTTAATTTAAATTAACTTTAAATTTGCTTTTAATTTGCTTTTTACGAATAGAGAATGTTTGTTAAATTCAAATTGTCTATAAGTAAATTACTTCTAAATTACTTTAAAATTTAAATTGAGGCTATCAAACCCAAACTGAATGAAACATAAAAGCAGTGGCTGATTAGCCGATGCTAGATCCAAAAGTGAATGCAATGCAAAACTGAGTGAGCCTTAAAGCTCAAAGTATTTCCACAACAAAATCTTCTTTGACTAAGGTACTTATTTAAGATTTAATGGCAATTTCTTTCAATGAGAAATCTTGAAGGTAACGTAATCCTAAACATTATTTAAAAGCATTTTTGAACACTCATCACTCGGTCAATGAATCTCATAGATGAATTGACAAAAAATAAGAAATGCCACGTGTTAGCTTCTGGTATAAGTTGTGCGGCATAGTTAAATTTACTGGTTATTTTATGTAATTTCTGCGATACTTTACGTTTTTCTATTTATGTAATTTTAAAGCGTTTTTTTTTTTTTTTTTTTTTTTTTTTTTGTGTGTGTGTAAACACAATTATTCGCATTTCCTGATTTCGTTGGAAGTAAAACATTCAATTACATTTTGATAGATTATTTTTAAAGATAAAAGTTTTAAGGTAAAGTGCGAGCGAGCCCTTTATTAAAGTTGTCATAGTTCACCATTTGGCTTAGTATACCTTTTAAACTTTCAACCCAGCAAAGATTGTATTGAAATGTTTTGTTCTTGAAAAGAAAAAAAAAAAAAACTTTTTAAGATTCCATCCTAGGGCAATGAGGAATGTCATCTAGAAAGAACGGCAATTAGAGTTACGAGAAATTCAGCGTAATTGAACTCTCAGTAAGGTACGAAAAAGTTGATATGATTAGTGGAAGTTGCGTGCATAATAACGGTACCTACTTCTTAAAAGAAAGGGGTGTTATTTAATAATGCTTTATATATGGCAGTATGCATATATTTGTGAGAGAAGTATTTTCTTGCTATGAAGGTTAAGAAAGCAATATCAGCAATTGCGATGCAAATTAGATGCATTTTAGTCATATTCTAACGTCTACATTTT